TATATAGTGCCCTGTTCCTTCAGTGCATATGGCTTTTCTATTACTAACGTTACGTGTTCACAGCTGTTGTGCGATGTATTGATAACGCTGTTATTATGTGCACGCTTCACACTGATGTGTTAACATGATTCATGCCGCTATATTGCCCTGTACCTTCAGTGCAACTGGCTTCTGTTCATGGTTGTGCGATGCACTGACGCTGTGTTATTACACTGTTATGTGTGTTATGATGTGCCACGATATACCACATCATCTCTGTACCTTCAGTGCAACTGGCCAGTCTGATTACTACATTTTCACAGTTGTTGTGTTGCAACGGGCGCTGTGTTACGTAAGCACTTCACACTGTTATGTGTAGGATTTATGCCAGTATTCTTGCCCTGTATACTTCAGTGCAAATGGCTATTCTAATTACGAAGCAGTGTGTATTCATAGTTGTTGTGCCATGCAACTACGCCGTGTTATGTATTCACTGCACTTGGTATGTGTTGAATTTGCCATTGTATATTGCCCTGCTCCTTCAGTGCAAATGGCTATTGTATTTCTACATATTCACAGTTGTGGCGCGATGCGACTACGTTTTTACAAGCTACACTGTTACATGTAATGATTTATGCCATTATATATTGCCCTGTGCCCTTCAGTGCAAATGGCTATTCTATTACTACACTGTGCATATTCACAGTTGTCGTGTATTGCAACTGGTGTCGTGTTGATACACACTCTATACACTGTGGTGTTATGATGTGCAAATGGCTATTCTGATTATGTGCACAGTTGTGCGTCACAACTGACGCGGGGTACATGCTAACTCACTGATGTGTTATGGTTACGCCGTTAATTTTGCCCTGTATCCTCAGTGCAACCGGCTATTCTGATGTACTATGTATTCACAGTCGATGTCGCTATGCCTCTGACGCTGTGTTTTTGTGCACACTAATGTCACTATGCTATCGCGTTGCCCTGTATCCTTCAGTGCTCCATGGCTATACTATCCAACTGTGCCTAGTCACAGTTTTTCGCTACGGCGACTTGCGCTGTTTGCGTGCACACTAAAGCGTAATGCTGTTATGTTGCCAACGTAACTGACCATTATGTTGTTCTGCGCATATTCATGCAGTTTCGGTCGCTTCGGCGGCCCGCACCGAATTTTTCCCACGGATGTTGAAATGTACACACTGTTGGGTTATGCTGTTATGTTCTCTTCCTCTGTGCAACTACCAGCTACCCTCTAACTGCATATTCAGTTTTGTCGCTATGGCGACTACACGGCACGTACAAGGACGTGTTTTTGCTATTCTTGCTCTGTCCCTTCAGTGCAAAACTAGCTATCCTATCTAACCATGCATTCCACAGTTCTGGATGTATGTACGTAACGGAGGTTTTATGCTGTTTGCTGCCTTGTTCCTCAGTGCAGCTTGCCATCCTATCTACTTGCATCTTAGTTCTGTCTACACAGTTCTGTCGCTACAGCGACTTACGCTGCATATACAAATGCAAGGATGTGACACTTATGTTATGCTGTCTGTTGCCCTGTATCTTCAGTGCAACTAGTTATCCCAGTCAACTGTGTATTTCACAGTCTCCGATAGGTGGCTGCGATGTAATATCTACACGTGGATGTATTCATGAACAGCGGTGTTGCCCAGTGTCCTTTAGTGCCTATACTGAGCTATCTGCGTTCAATGAGTTGGAGCTACGGCTACCGATGCTGTTACGTTGATGTGCTACGCTGTTATGTTGCCTCCAGTGCAACTGGCTATTCTACTTTTGAATAGGCTGACCCTATTCTATTTCTGACTGCGTATATTCACAGTTGTTGTCGCTTGGCCAATGACACTGTGTTTATGTACATTCAGTTATGTGTTGAGTGCACTTCTTACATTGGCTCGGAACATCGCTATGTCCTACAAGGAAGTGTCAGTTCCTCGTAACCCGCTTGCTGGAATGGAAGAGGGCAAGTGTGGAGGTGGCAAACACATAAGACGCCTCCTGGTGATCAGACCGTCGTGAGTTCCACTCAGAGTCTCTCTGGGTGGGTATATATAATCCAGATTGCGCCGTGCCGCGGTGGAGCTCTGGAAGTACTAGACCTTCAGGATAAAACAGGCTGGTTTTCTGGAAGTGCACCCCAGAGCAGGGTGCAGCTTTCCTGGGCTTGAGACCAGCGCACATGCCGGATTGGGCGATGGTGGTGTCAATATGAAAACTTTAAAACTTATCACCCCCGGTTCACGGATCTGTGAGTTATGGGGGGCCTACGACAATCCCCCTCGGGAAGGTTCTGTTCTACAGACGATTGGCACTCCTGCCCTCAGCTGTGGAACCTTCGTGTGTGTCTGCTGCTGAGTCCATAGTTGAGCAAGACACTTCACACTAACAAGTGCTCAGACGAAGCTCTCCCTGAGATGGCCTTACCACCGGCTCTCGCCCAGCGAGCACTTGGAATCCTACGCTCATTCTAGTGACTGATGTCGCATCGTCTTGGACCTGGTGACTGCAGCGTCAATCTCCGTTCGATATCTAGCTACGTTCCGAAGTTGCTTACACCGTTCAGAGCACAGGTGGATCTCTGCCCGCATTATCAGCTGAGCTGTTAGCCTCGCATATGCCGATGCTCAGAGTGATGTTGGCCCTGTAGAGATTTGTGATCTGTAGGGCAGCAGGCTGACAAACCGCTGTTTGTGTGCTTGGTGGATGGTTCTAGGGACGTGCTTTTTTATACAGAGACTCTTCTCTGATTTCAACGCTTTGTTTGCTTAACACCTACGGGATTAGGTTGCTGGCTGTCTTCTCGGAACTCGTTCAGGGTTCAAGTTTGTTGATCCGCCTATAGCGTTGTGGGTTCAGTGAGTTATTTTGAACTCATGGAACTGTTACCATCAACTGTGCAGTAGTCTTTTTGCAGGGTTACCTTTGCTGCTAACTCTGTGTGTGGCTACTTGGTTATGCAGCTGTCACCGCTATGCTGTTGTCACTGTATTAACTCTTTGCTTTAGTGCTTATGGTGTTGTGCTGCCCTGTCAAGTGCAGCCTTCGCTTCTTTGCATTGGATGTGCAACTTGGTAATGTAGGAGCAGACGTTGGTCTAGTTCGCCTATCCGTTGAGTGCTCCAAGCGGCGTGGCTGGCTTAGAACTGTTGTTTCCTGGGGAGTGTAGCTTGACCCCGTCAGGGCTTATCTTCACTGCGCTCACGGCGGGATTCTATAGAGTTCCCATATACGTCAGTATGACGTAATTTCGAAGTGACCGCCTTGAAAGGGAACGTCTCCGGTTACTATCGTAACCTCGGTTTCCTGAGAGGCGGGAATGAGACATTACGTCAACCGCCGTGCTCACCGTTTGATCAGCTGTGCTAGCATTCAGTCGTGATTCTGACGCAATTGGCGCGCCCATGCTATTTATACTGCCCGTGGACCGGTCAGCATTTGCATGTTTGCATCAATTGGCCAGCTGTCTCCAGCTGGCGTTAGCCTATAAGATTTCAGTGGAAATGGAGAAAGGGGGAGTTCCCATATACGTCAGTATGACGTAATGTCTCGTTCCCGCCTCTCAGGGAACCGAGGTTACGATAGTAACCGGAGACGATTTGCGTCTTTAAATAGTAAAATAATTCTCCGAAAAACAGCTAGCCTCTTCGCTAACTAACACACAAAATACCATTGGAATGCTACTTCCGCCGCGTCACCGGAAGTTTCACCCACTTTATTTTTTACAGGAGCGCCCCTCGGAAACTTGTGGATAGCCGTATTTGAGTTACCATCCAGTACAGTGTAATCATGTAAGATGTGTAGCTTTATGGTGTATGTTGTACTGTATTTACAGGAAACACTGTGTTGAAGTTTGAGGGAAGCCAGTAGTTTTAATGCTATTTATGTTGTCATGAATGTGATAGAGATAATGAAAAAGCATTGTTTGTTAGAGCATATCTTTTATTTGTTTGTTACAGACCACACACATAAGCTGATACACTTCTATGGACATAAAGCACGAGACGATACAGAGTGTCAGTGAATGTGCACAGAGAGCATTGTTTAACTCAACCTGATAGGATCTGGCTCCCCCTCTGCATATGCTTGTTCAAATAAATCTGTTAAACTGGATTCCTTCTCCGACTTTGGTGTTCTAACTGGCACACCCGTATCAGCTTCATCTTAGTAGCAACAGCTAGCACCTTACAGTCCTTAGCCTCTCAGTTACAGAGATGCTCAGCCCTGGCTGTTTTTAGTGTCTTTTTATAACGTGTCATACTGTCTTTCCACACGATTCTAAAGACCTCTAAATTAGTTTGTTTCCATTTACGCTCTAAGTTACGAGTTTCTCTCTTGATAACATGTGTAGTTCGCCTACTTTTGTACCAGGGTGCTTTAGTTTTCTCTCTAACCTTTTTTAATCTAATTGGTGCAACAATATCTAATGTAGAAAATGGTACAATGATAGAATGAACTATCCAGTGTCCACAGATCAGCAACATTCACCATGGATTTACTGTAGTAACACTAACTACTGCATGCTTGAAAGCATTATAGCCTATATTCCTGCCAAACTTCCAAGGAACGGAGTTGGTTTTTATTTTGACATTATGAATGAATATGAAAATGGCAGCCCTCAAATGTTAATCTAAACTAAATATAGACCTTTGTTTATAACTACTACAATATTATGGCTACATTTTGTTTTTCCAATGAGCTGTTTTGTTTTATATGCTCATAAGAGTCTATTATAGCTCCGTCATTGCATACTTTATTATGTTAGTTTTAATAATAAAAAAAAACTGCCATTTCTTCACAAGTTCTTTAAAATGTCACTTTGTATTTAAGAAAAACGTGCCCTTTAGTCATTATTTGGGTAGCACACGTATTCTGAATGCCTTTTCATTTTAATATAGATTAATTTCAAGATTACAGTGAGATTAATCTAGATTAAAAAATAATCTATGCCCACCACTAATATATACACACACAAACACACACACATCGAGAGAGAACAGTTTGCGTTCATGTGAGCAGCAAATATTTATTTTCATTATTACAAATTGTAAGAACAGGTGTTGCCATTCCTTAGTAACAAATTAAGTAGATTTTGTTGCATGTTATTACATTTTGTTTTAAAGTACTTCAGTAATTACTCTGTGACACAAACACCATAAAATTATTACACAGCTTTTCTATCTTTATATCCAATGACTGAGAATTATTTTAAAGGCTATACCAGCAAGTTTACACCTAAAACATGTTCAGGGTGACACTGACTGTGCCACCAGTGAGTGAATGTTGTGATATAATAATCCATCACTGTTCTGGTAAACTGTGTTAAAATCATCCGCACAAGGGAGCTTATTTATTATCAGAATAAAACAAGAAAATATTTGTAACCTGTATAATGTGATAATTTTTGTGCATCCAGTGACTTCAGAAGTAGTTTAAGATGATGAAATATTTGCTACAGAAAAATTAGTTCAGTGACTTCAGACATAAAAAAGTTAAATTATTAAAAAAACCCCACAAAAGTCAATAATTATGTTATTAGACTTTATTCATAAAGCATTCGTCCATTTTTATCCATTCATCAAGAGTCTTTTTGCAAGAGCTCATAAAGAGATGATACATATGGAGAGGAGTATATAGTGTTTTAGGCATTAGTAGAAAGGATTACAGAACTCTGCGGTTTACAAGTACAGGGTTTATAAAGGCTAAACATCATCATCATCATCCCAGATTACAGCATCATGAGGCAGAAAACTCAAAGAGGACTCGTGTGTGTGTGTCAGCGCTCTGATCATTCAAGACCAGGTCTAACAGTGGATGTTTGTGTGGGTTGGGCTGCGTGGGTCGGACCAACAGTGGATGTCACTCTTTGTTGTGGTCTGTCAATTTTCTCCAGTTGTTTCTTTACACTTTTGTACGTTCTTTCCCATTCCTCCTTGGAGAGAGAGGAAGGATTGATCTCCAGAAACTTGTAGGCATCTTTGGTCTGGAGCCTAAACATGACAGATGCTTGTTGACAGCTGACAGCAAAACTGATCCAAGCCTGTGGAATAAAAACATTTACAAGTCAAGTCACCTTTTTTTTTATATAGCATTTTTTATAATACAGATTTCATCAAAGCAGCTTCACATTGAAAACATGAAAATAAAACAACCAGTTTGTTTCTAGGAGAAAATTGTGCCATCGTCCGCATTTAGTAAGGCAGATCAATAATATTGTTGAATATTAAATGCCCCCAACTAAGCAAGCCAAAAGCCAAGGCAAAGTCACAATAGACTTTTATATGAAAAAATTAAGACTGCCATTTAAGAGGGAACACCCAAGCCTTCCACTCAGGTACAAATAAAGATAATAAGAATAAGAATATTTGTAATGGAAATATTTCTGGAAAGATTACAAATGTAATGGAAATGTTCTTGTAATCGTGTAAACGTTCATTTTACCTCTTTGGCTTTTTGGATTGAATCAATAAAATTATCTTTAAATGTGTCAAATTCTTCTCCAGCAGTCTTCTGTTTCAGGGACTCCAGCCTATTATCAACATCCTCCCAGAAGTTTAGGACATCACCCAGAATGCCACGAATTTTTGACAAGCTTTTCTGAACTTCGTCTAGATGGATGGGGTCGGGTATGGACTCTGCAGAGGGGAAATAAAGGTTTCAACAAGGGGTTAAGTGACACTCATATATTTTTAGAACAATAATATCTTAGTAAAAATCTAAAATAATATTGACGAACTGTATATCGTTTGAAATCTTACTGTCTTTAGTTTTCATATTTATGTATTTCATATTTTTTTAAATAAATTACAGAGGAGCAGTAATTTATCAATTTGCAACAAGAATATTTCATATTCATTAGCCGTGTTTAGGCCTTTATTTTGAAACAGAAAAATAAACATGAAAAATCATGAAAGATTGGTAGGAACCTCAGTTTGTTTTCAACCAAAAAATATTGTAGATCCTACATTTGTAATGCAGCAATGCTCTTTTTATAGGTATATTATATTATTTCTGAATAGGATGTATACTTCATAAATTGTATGAAAATTATGGAAATATATGGTTCAGGTCACTCAAAACATATTTTAATAAAAATGCAGGTGCCCAGTAGAAAGCTGGCTGTCCATCTAGTGAAAAATCTTGGTACTGCACCCAGATAAAATCTCACTCAAAGTCCATCAACCAAAAATACAGTGTTGGGAAAGTTCACTTTCTACATGAACTAGTTCAAAGTTCAGTTCACACATTTTAATATGAACTAGTTCATTTGTAGTTTTTTGTTTGTTTGTTTGTTTGTTTTTTTTATATGTTGCGAGCTCTTTTTTGACTTCCCACGCAAAGATATTTACATTCCCTCGCAAAACCTGTTGGCAGCTCGGACAGACACTTCCTGTTTAATGTCCCGCTGGCAGTGTTTCAGAGCTCCGTACGTTAATGGAGCGTTTCATAGTGTTTGAACTTGGACTCAAATATAAAGAAATATACTGTAAATATGTCTGTTTTGTCTGTTTTTGTGACTAACGTTTCTTTAGTATAACCATGGAGTATAAAATTCAATATAAATTCTCGGTATTGCATTGGACTCTACGATCGGCGGAAGTTATCGAGCATCCTTAGACCTTCACCGGAAATACCGCCGTGCATAGAGCCCATTGGGTTGTAGCCATAGACTGTAAAAAATATGGACAAAGCGTCTGTGACGTCACCCGTAGACTCTCTGAAGAACGGGTTTGAGGCTGTTTATGGGGGGTATGGGCGGCGCCATACTGGAAAATCTTGGAAAATACAAAAGTTTCAGAAAGGATACTGAGGTGGTATGATGTGTTGCGTCAGATCATGGCCGAGACGTCAAATTCACTCGGCGCAGCCCGTTATCAGCTGTCAATCAAAGTTAACCGCCCTTATTTGTCATACATTTTATATCTTAATATGATCTAAACTAACGAGTTAGAAAAAAATTCACCCCCGCGCAGTTGTCAGGTATGCGGAACATATTGAAGATTACAATAAAAGACCATGGGACCAAACTGTAAACATGAATTTATGCTGTGAAAACAGATATTTTAACATGACGTCTATGGATATTTGCTCCCTTTCGGGACCGGCCTCTAGCGGATTTGAGATGTATTGCAGTTTTTCGCACTTACGGGTAGGCTTCATCTTTCAGATTAGAATGTTGCCGCTTGGTTGTAGCTCGTTGTCTAGGTTACTGTGATTGTAAATAGGTGTCGTCTGTGTTTTAACAACGTTTAGCTGAAGAATATTGACCCGGGAAGTTCGAATAGCATGTGGATATATTGCCAACTTCACTGAGCAGCTTGAGTTAAGCACTGACCGCATTTCTCTATATTTGAGTCCAAGTTCAAACACTATGAAACGCTCCATTAACGTACGGAGCTCTGAAACACTGCCAGCGGGACATTAAACAGGAAGTGTCTGTCCGAGCTGCCAACAGGTTTTGTGAGGGAATGTAAATATCTTTGCGAGGGAACGCAAAGTTTCTCGGGGGAAAGCAAACGTTTTGAGAAAAAAAATTCTTTCATCCTAAAATGTTTTTCCACCACCACGTCCCTTTAGGGGCTCCGTAGGCACCCTATTGTACTAAGTTTTTTTCAATTTATATTTGAGGGGGAAAGACAGACAAAAACACTAAAACGTACCCCAGACAGCAAACTGACATTGAATCAACGTGGAAACGACGTCTCTCATGACATTGAAACAACGTTGATTTTGCTCATCGAATTAACGTTGAACCAACGTCAGACGCGGCATTCTTCAAAGCTAAATGAAAATCGAAAATTGGTTTGCTTTCATAACGTTGAAACAACGCGTTGATTTCAAGTTGGTTTTCCTTTAGTTTTGAAAGAAGGACGCGTCTGACGTTGGTTCAACGTTAATTCGATGAGCAAAACAATGTCAGATCAACGTTGTTTCGATGTCATATTTCCACGTTGATTCAATGTCAGTTTGCTATCTGGGACAGTATGTAATTTTTGGCAAATAGGGGTCACTAACAAAGGACGTACTTTGATGATGTCGGGAAAGAGCGTGGGCTCATGGGAGTTGTTGTCATTGTCAATGACAACCTGCCAGCTAGCATCTCCAGCAGAAAACATGTTCACTGATGAGGCTATTCACTTTATGTAATGCCATTCTAATGAAATTGCCGCAAAATTTAGTTTACCACCACAAACCCATAATACAGAGTGAGCGAGTGAACCAGCAATACGATGCTCATTGGAACACGTGCTCTATCGCTCCCCACATTCCAATCCTCACCCATTCTAACTTAGTATTTTGACAATCACGTCTTTTCGAACGGAGAGATATGAATTATCAGACCCCCATTAAATCAGTATTATAATATTGGAACAAATGAAAAACCATTTTTTCGCTACTCCTCCTTCAAATCTTGCTCGAATTTGTTTAAAATTTGGTCAGATAATCTTTGGACCAAGCCGCACAGAAATAGATTGATGAATAGATGAATAGATTTTTGATATTTGCTACCGTTTGAGAGATATTTGTCTCCAAAGTTGACCTGGCCTGTGTTTGTTGCCTTATGCTAGTTAGCTTAGCATAATAATTGTTTAGCATGCTAACCAGGTGCCATTCTTTTGAATGCGGCTCTTCAGCTATCAGGATAACCATTAGCTACGTTAGCATTGAGCTAGCTTAGCATGCTAATTGCGTTAACATGATTTTGTGTGCTTATTCTTATACTGAAGGCTCTCCTCTGCAGCTCAGTTATTTGCGTCTTCTGTGTGGCGCAAGCTGCTAAACCATGTGTCACGAATCCCGAACCATTGCGGTCGTGGGTTCGAATCCTGTGTGGCACATGCCCAGACCGCAAGAGGTACTGTGGCCTTAAGTGGTAGAAAAGTTGTTTCAGTTCTAGACATGGTGTCTGTCTGAGAAAGGAATTCAAAAAATATAATATGCAGCAAATTTATAATTTTAAAAAAATCTTAATTTTGAGGTTATTTTCACTTGTACTACTGACCCAACAGTTTTTTTTTCAAATGTCGGAGTTGCTGCTGCTTCCGGGCTTGGCCCCTGTATTGCTGCTTGCAGCTATATTTATAATTGTGTTTATACTTTGGTATCGAACAAGAGAGTGAACTGCATGTACTTTCTCCAGCTAGATATAGAACAAATGTGAATTTACATTATGAACAGACTTTATAGAGTCCTCATACACATATTATTTATAATATGTATATTATACATTTTTACGTAAAATAAATGGTTCATTAGCCTATATTTTCTATTAAATGTAAAGGGGGTTCTGGCTTCTAACATACAGTTAACAGTAGTTAACATACAGTACACCATTAATTAGGCTATAGCTTACAAATGCCTTTCAGAATTTGCCACAGAATACAGAGGAACCAAATTAAACCCAGCAAACTACTAAACCCAGCTTAAATCCACCAAAGTAGATATTATAACATTATATAGCGATATTAATCATCTAACTTTTCTAAATGCGCGTGCGAGGGCTTGTATTGCGTATTGCAGAGGAGATGTCATGCGCGCCAGCATTAGTTGTGCGCTCGTTTATTATTGGCATTGAATTGCCGCCAGGGGCGGAGCTACATGGTCAAGGCTCGGCCCCCCCTGCCGGCCCCCCCTCCCAACCTCACGGGAAAATAAATTTAATATAAATAAAAATAAAAACTCCCGTAACGGTCTAAAAAGGAAGCTGAAATGTATGCATTTTTTAATCAAGTCATTGATTTGTCACTTACGCTACAAACCCCATATTAGCAACATGTTGGGTCACGCCCCCATCAACAGTGCGAGACATAACGTGCCTGCATTCTGACAGCGCTTAATGAAGACTAGCAGCTATTAGCTAATCACTGGATATACCACTGTAACAACAGGTGAGTAAGTTGGTGATACTTGAAAGCATAGCATTGATTGAAATGATAAGATCATATTAGTTATTATCTGACTTTAATGTGTAAGAATGTGTCGTCGACATTTTAGTTAAGCAGCACCGCTGCTGTTATTTTTGCAAACTTGTATGATTATCTGATTGGCTAGCGCTAGATAGTTAGCTTAAAGCTGCAATACCTAAGATTTAGATGCCGCTAGAGGGCGCTACATTCAAAACAACAACAATGGCTTTGCTTGATGATGACGTGGAGAAACGCGGAATGATGGGAACTGTTGTTTTCAACTCCACCGTGGATAAATCAGTCAGACGGGAATCGAAAATTAGTTGTCATGGATGAGGTAAAGTTCGATTTCCATAAACGTTGCGTTTAATGACATGCTTGTTTTTCATTAAACTGAAATAACCGCAAGAAAAGTCAGGTTTAAAAGTAAATTAGTTACTGTACGAGTCACTAGACGAAGCTATGGTGGAGAGGGTTTGAAGGGGCAGGTCTCTTGCAAGGAGTTGACGTGGCTGGTCCTCCTTGGTAACTTTATAAAAATAAAAAATCAATTTAATGTACATTTGACACATCTTTTCATGTCGTGTAAGTATTCAACCACAGCTACAGTTTCACAAAATTAACGTTAAGGGGGTCGCACCCCAGACAGCAAACTGACATTGAATCAACGTGGAAACGACGTCTCTCATGACATTGAAACAACGTTGATTTTGCTCATCGAATTAACGTTGAACCAACGTCAGACGCGGCATTCTTCAAAGCTAAATGAAAATCGAAAATTGGTTTGCTTTCATAACGTTGAAACAACGCGTTGATTTCAAGTTGATTTTCCGTTAGTTTTGAAAGAATGGCGCGTCTGACGTTGGTTCAACGTTAATTCGATGAGCAAAACAATGTCAGATCAACGTTGTTTCGATGTCATATTTCCACGTTGATTCAATGTCAGTTTGCTATCTGGGACACCGGACGAGAAGCTGCAGCGCCGCGTCGCGCCACATCTTTAAAATTCGAACACATTATTATCTATAAGTGTAACGTTACACATACCGGCGGCGCCATTCGGCGTCTGTCCGCGGCGCCCAGCAACGCCTCAGGACCGTGTTCAAAATCCTGCTGCGCCACAGAGCGCCATTTACATAGTTTTATATAAAATTTTAATTATTTTTGTCTCAAATCGTTGCTAATGGATCCTGACTTCGCCCTATGCTGCAATATGCATTTAGTTTTGCAGTAATTTACAGAAATCCGCTGCTTGAATGACAATTGCTGATGTTATCATTAGAATTTTCAGGTGAGATTCTCAATTCATTCAGTGAACAGATGCTCTGAGGTAAAGTTTTCAGAATGCAAACTCAGCAACGATTGTATTTAATTGTACAGTACAATCATAACATAGAACAGACATTATCTTCATTTCATGTCATTAAACATAACAATATTGCTGGCCATACACTGATGAGAAAGTGCGCGTCCGGTCTGCGATACTGTGGAGTTGTCCTAAACGTGACGCGGCGCTTCTCGTCCGGTGTGCGACCCCCTTTACAGCCAACAGTTCACATTCCGAGAATAAATGAAAAGAGTAATTGTGCTCCATTCCATAACAAATGCGCGAAACAAGCTGACGTTTGTTGCTTGATAGACGCTAACGCACAACTACAACTATCGCATTTGTCCAGGACTACACGTAGTACGAGCGGAAACCGAGGTATGCGGATATGACGCGATTGACTGGCGACTCCCAGCTCACCCCTGCTCATACGCCCCGTTTCCTTTAAAACGTTTTAAAGGCCCAGAAAATTTAGGTTAAAATCTAAATTTTCTCGCGATTTAAACATTGTTTGAAACATTTGGAATATTGTGAGTTATCATCATAACTAAATATATAACACTGGCCTTGTGATTTTGGGATATTTTAATGCAAAAATCTTAGGTATTCCACCTTTAAGTCAATTCCAATGTGTCACTTAGGCTACAGGCACTAACTGAAGCTTTCCGTTCACGACGACACGTAAAATCCATTTTAGACTAATCTGGTCTATTTTTTTCCTTCAAACGCACGCGCTGGCGCTGCAATCGCGTCTAGTGTAACCTAGCTACTTCCATTGATTATAGTGGAAGCTACACTCTAAGGGAAAAGGGTTCTATAATGTAGCATAGGGTTCTTTACTCAACTCCAAAGGACATTTTATGCTAAAAAAGGTTCAATAATGACAAGAAAGAACCCTTTTGGCTCAAAGGTTTTTTTAAAGGCTATTATTCATTCATATATTACATTATTCTGCAACATTTGTAGTTGTTATTAAATTATTGTTTATTAAACTGTTGTAGTAACTTAATATCACATTTTAATCATGCAGATTTTGGGAGGATAAAAAGTGAAATGGCACTCTTCGTCTGATATTGATTAATTACATTTTTTAACCACCATATCTTGAATTTTGTGATCATTCACATGCATTGCATTTTAGGGGTTCCAAATACGTAACGCTTTAGAACCTTTTAAGGTTCTATATTGAACCTTTTCTTCTAAGAGTGTAATTGTTACAGCAGACACAAAGTGAACAGAACATTTCAGGGTAACACTTTAGAATACGGTTCCTTCGTTAATGAATAACTACACAAGAACCAATGAGTAACACAATATTAACAATCTAGTAACTATTATTAACTAACAAGAAACTCTGATTAACAAGCTAGTAAGTAATAGCGCATAGATGAAAGTGGTAGTTCACTATTAGTAACACTTGAGTCATTACTAGTTAGTTCCAATAATCTTCACTTTATAATACAGATCCAAATAATTAGTAAGTAATAGCTCACAGAAAGTGAAAGTGTTACTAGATACTTCTGTGGGAATTACTAATTATTTGGATCCGTATTATAAAGTGAAGATCATTGGAACTAACTAATGACTCAAGTGTTACTACATGATCTAGTCATGATTTGTGCAACCGTTGTAACCTGTTGTACTATTATCACAAATAAATTGGATGTTGCACTTAAAATGCAATGGTTTACCTAAAGAAATTATCGCCTAATATGACAATATTCATATTGTGTCTTTCTGTCATTTGCACTAAATACATCCCTGTCTCATGTTAAGGTCATAACAAACGAATTGCAATTAGAGAAGATTAAACTCGCGGACTGGCCGTCGGACTGGCTGTTTTCGTCTGCGTTTAATTATCAACTTAATGTGATAATATAGCGATCTTTTTTTAAAACAGGGGAATCCAGAACATGGGCGCATCTCACGCTCTCCTGCAATGCCGCTGCGCGAGGGTGACATGACATGTCACCAAATATGACATCCAGACTTTTGTAAAACAATCAACACACCACATGTGCATGCACACACACATCAACACATCGTTCAGTCAGTTTGTGAGTGTGCGTGGCTGATATAAAGAAAAATAATCTTCATGATTTATGGACACGGTGTTACTAGCAGGGCTCCCCTTATGCCACGTCATATCACAACTATATTTCCAGAGTTAATTTTAGGTTTAAAATTAATCATGCAATGAAAGAAAGCAGGAGATGCGTTTGTGGGAATAATCTGAAAATAAAGACCTGTAGGCCTATATACTTATTTCAGATGGACATATCTCCAGTTGATGATAATTATTAAGTTAGAGCTCTGAGGAAATGCTAATGCAAAACAAACAATTCAAAGTCCCCAAAACTGTCATATAGGCCCATATGAAGTTGTAAACCTGTTGCCTAGTTGTGGATTTTTTCTTAGAAAAAAATAATTTATTCTTTGCTCATTGTTTCTAATGCAGATACTTATTCGACTCTATTACAGTATTTACTGCTGTTAAAAAAAAAAAAAACATGATGCAGCAATTTTATTTTATGTAAGAAGCTATTTTACTGTATGTTTTCAAAAAAGGAGCTTTACAACAGTTAGTAAATTTTAGCACATTTAAAGCCCCTTTGTCAACTTAAATCATATAAACGTAATTTTCCAACAACAAAAATGTGGCTTGTAAAAGTGCTGCGTGGCTAGTAATTTATAGCCAAATTGGTTATTGGCAAGTTAATGTCAAGCCCTGATTACAACCATTTAAGTTTGGATAGTGATTTTCATGTCTATGTAAAAAAAGCGATGAGTGTAATTGTACTTTAAACATGAAATAAAATAGACTCACTCCGTTCAAAACTGGCTCTGAGTCTGGCAACCTTCTTCTGCCAATCAATGATCTGGAGTTGGTCCTGCTCCTGCTTCTGTTTCAGATCAGTCTTATTAGCGATGAGGATATTCAGTTCAGCTTCAAGAGCCTTCATATGTGCAACTTGTTTAGGATTTTTTACAAGACCATAGATTCTTTTTCTAATCGGCTCGATGAATTGAACGAATGCAGCGATGATGTCGAGGTCTCCATCTGTTTCCGTTATGGATCTGACATAATCTTGAATCTCTTTGGTTTTGTTGCTTATCTTCTTATCGATTTCAACAATCTCTTTTGTTTTATCATTCCATAATTGTGTCATATTACCCAGGGCTTCTTCATTCTCCTTCAACTCTTGGTCTTGTTTTGCATTATTTTTATCTGTCTCTTCTTTTTCCTGGATAACATAACTGGCGGCCGATGATACATCTGTGTTGTGTGAATCATACCTATACAATGTTGAAATGTTGCTGTCAAATTAGCATTTTATAACAATGGACTGTGTAACTAGCTTAAAAGCTTAGCTTAAAACATGGTCATACTTTTGCCAGATTATAGCAGTTGCATGTAGAAGAATATTTCAACTGTTCAAGGTATTTTGAAATATCATGTCTTCATGAGGAAAATATTCTTACCTTTGCACTATCTCTTTCACATCATTGATAATGTCTGTGATCCAGACTTGTGCTTTTTCTAGGAATTTGACCGCCAAAGTCGGCTTATTCTTCTCCACAGCGGTCACCAACATGGGAAACAGCGTATTAACCAGGTTATCACTGGTCGAAACACACTATGAAAAGGAAGGGACAAGTATCTAAGAATATAAAAACATTCAGAACTCTTATTGACTGTTTTTGTTCTGTAAAATTTTTAGTTAAAAACTTTAAAGTGTGTGAGTGTATGCTATATGAATGAATGAGGATAGTTTTATCAAATAAAATGGTAAAATTCTTGTGAAGTGACTCTCACTTGTGAACTTTTTATCTCCGCGATGAAGATCAAATTTGTGCACAACGCGCGCTGCAGTGTGTAGATGTTAGATGACCACTAGATGTCCTCTTAACGTTACAGAGACACACAGCACACGCAGAGTTTATTTCAATAGCAGTCTTTTTTGAGCTTTGATATTTATAGACACCAGAGCTTATCGAGATTTGTTTCATTATACGTCCCTACTTTTGATTTATTCATTCAAAAATGGCCAAATTCCGTGACGTTCCTCTTTACAGTAGTTGCATTTGTGATTGGATTCCGCGATTCGGTCGGCATCGCTGCGCAAACACAGATGGGGTGAATTTATTAATTTGAATTTACGGGAGTGATATTCCCCTAGGCCACGCCCCCTTGTCTCCCCAAAGTATTATAAGCGATCATGCGCATCCCGTGTGCAGAATGATGCACTTGAAGCAACACCAAGTCACAGCACGCAATGCTTCACTTTGAAAAGAACGTAGCGAAGGGATTATATCTATAATATGCTTAGGGCTGCACGATTTGGGGAAAATGTCATTGCCATTATTGAGGTCAATATTGCAATTGTGATATGCGATTCCGATATAATAAAATGGTTTCATGAGTCCAACTTGCTTGGTTCTAAAGTAAAATGCACACACAGATTAGTGATCATTCTGTGTATTAATGTTTATTTCTCAACTCAAACTAAAAATAACAACTAAATGATTGATAACACCTATAATGATCAATAAACCATCAACCAAACCATCATTACAGTGATTCCATCATTACAATTGAAAGCTACAGTATCAACTTTAAAAAAAAAAAAATTATTAGCCTTAAAAAATAACAGCTTTTAAATTAAGTGAACTTCAAACAATCCCCACATAAACCCATAATAAATGCCATATAATAATAAATAATAAACATAATAATTTACCTGCCCTTCCTGTCTTAACAGGTAGGATACCGAATAAAGTTATCAAACAGTCTGCGCTGCATGAATTATAAATTATATAGAATAATCCTTATTAAAGCTACAAAAGTTCTTTAGTAAAGATCAGTGAGTAATTTTTTCTAATTTCCCTTTGTTCTTTGATTAACTTTACTGACAGAACGCTTTATTCGCTGCTGGCCATTTAAGACCCGTTGGCCGTTGCCGAGACGCGGATCTCACACGCGCCTCATATCACAACTCTTTTTGTCCATAAGACTTTTCTTATGTTATGAAGATATTCGACAAAACGACATTTTGGCATAATTGTGTGTGCTATTGTTCGTTCAAGCTCGAAAGAGAACTGTATTCTTCTGGCACGCGGTCAGTGCATGCGCATTATGGCGCGCGTCTTTCTGCGAGTCTCATTTAGGGCATTCATTGCACAGGCAGCTTTTCACTTCTTGTCGTGCAAAATGCATTTGCACGAATAAGAGCGGGATCATGTAACACTAGTCAAAGGATGACAAAAAAAGAAGAGATGCTGCGTTAATAGCCCTAATTTGTTTATTTCATATAAAATCGCGGCATTTTGCGTTAGCCTATATAATTGCATAGGTTTGAGATCGCTATTACGATTGCGATATGATTAATCGTGCAGCACTAATGCTTACCCAGCAAACATTGGTCCGACGGCGACGTCGTGTCCCTGGCCAAAAATAGTTGCGGCCAGGACGTCATAAATCGGTAAAAATATGTAACACAGAAAATTTCCTAAAAATGCATTCAGATGCATTTGTACATGTCTACAGTTACATGCATAATAGTTATTTTAACTTTTAGGTACGTGTAGTTATATACAGTGTATCGGGTGAAAGGACGTCACTTCGCGACGTCTTTTACACATGTATTTATAGTCCATCATGACCCTCTATGAAATCCTTGTTAAATATGCAAAAGCTGCGCTTAATCCTCGCATATGGTTTATACCGCAATAATTAATGTAATTGCCGAAGTAGTTTTTAAAGGGTTAGTTCACCCAAAAATGAAAATTAAGTCATTAATTACTCACCCCCATGCTGTACCAACCCCGTAAGACCTTCGTTCATCTTCGGAACACAAATAAAGATATTTTTGATTGAATCTGAGGGCTGGATCACTCTTCCATAGACAGCCTGAGGGACTGGCTCTTGACGGCCCAGAAAGTCATTAAAAGAAAAGGTTTAAATATTCCATGTGCCTACAGTGGCTCAACTATAACTTTATCAAGCGACGAGAATACTTTTTGTGCGAAAAAAAAACGTAAATAACGACTTTATTCGACTTTCCATTACTTCCTTATGGGCGCATGCGCGAGAACTGAGACGAGACCGTTCTTCTTCGACTACTTTTTGTTACCGGCTGCTCACCGCTTAAGAGTTTTACCGCCCCCTACCGTATAAGATGACGTACTGCTTGTAAACAGAACGTTTTGCGCCTCCGGCTATATCAGTACGTCATCTTATTCAAGGTAATTTTGCCCTTATGACATTAAAAAAAAAACATCTCTTGTTCCTTGTCTTAATATTAATGTAATTTTTATTTTTAACTTCTAAACAGGGGACATTCTTTAAAAGACCACCTGTCTGGATGTTTTATTTTAATTATTTCACTATTCAAACGCATTTAGTCCAGAACATCTTTTATTGGCATAAGATTATTATGCAGAAAAATAACATTGCTATTTTCAGACATTTTCAAACACCGTACGTAATTAACCTAAAAATGAGCCTTTTTTTAACCGCATTCTCTTCCCTCAGATGCTGTGATTGTGACGAGGTGGAGCCCAAACGCCACAGATTAAGACATTGATGCAGGAATGGCGAACACCTGAAGCACACTCAAGAAGAGCTGGATATAAAAATAGCCATAAACAAAACCAAAACCTTAAAGCCATAAACAAATTTCAAAGACTCTAAATAATTTTATTTATGTCTGTTTAACAGTAATGCAAGGCTGAAGTAACTGAAAGTTAGTACTGCCACAGCTCTGACTTCTATTTATCAATGGTGGAATATTTTTAGAACGACTTTTCTGTAATATTATAGAATGTGTTGACTGTTCCTGTACTTTTGTTATATTCTGGTTTGATTAGTGGCTGCTTAACCTTAATGTGAAACTGTCAGAAAATGTCATTGTACTATTTTTATTATTATTCTTTTTTAGCAGTTTAACAACTGGAAGACATTTCAAATGTAATATTCTCAATAAAATGTTGTTGTAAATTATAACTCTTTTGCTTTTGTCCAGAAGTAATGTGTTGATGTAGACGTGTTTAAACGGTTTTATAGACGTCCAGGTCTGACCGGACCGATTTTCGACCCGTTTTAGAACCTAGTCAAGTTCAGATGTGTAGAAATATCCTGATTGATTGACTTTCACGAACTTATACAATATGGGTGTAATTATTTTATATACAGGAATATATATACACACATACAATTGGTAGCAAGATCCCGCAGAACAAAAAAAGAAATAAAATAAGCCCATTTAGACGTCCGTGGACGCGCAGAAAAGACGTACAGTTCACGGCCAGATGACGTCGTTCAACTTCCATTTTGGAACTATTTTTCAACCATGACGGGACGTCTCGGATGGACGTCTTTTCAACGGTCAATAAACGTCAAAATGTTTGCTGGGTTAGTATATTCTATATGCAACAGTTTTTTAGCCTTTTCTTTTAACAGCTTTAAATTTCAGTGCGCATGAAGAACAATAGCACTCTCGCGACTCCATGCTGTAGCCTAAATCTCACATACACCCGGGAGAAGGGAATGTGATTTAGAAAGGGCAATAAACTCCACTCCAGCAAGATAAAGTAATTTTATGCAAACCATAGACCTTTATGCTTTATCTACAAATAAAGTATAATAATGGGAATATTGATCTTGAAGAGAGTGTCGTCGTGTCGCAACCGAACGCGACGCGCTGTGAATGCAGAATGGAGAATGACCAGAGATGTCTAATTGAAGAGAATAGGGGATTATCACGCTGATACGTAGTACTTCCGGATTCTGTGATCTTTGTGCACTGCCACTTCCGTTGAATCACCGATCTCGCTGGGGAACTGATGAAGGAAGAGCTGTGTCTGAAATCGCTCCCTATCCACTAAATAGTGCACTATATCGGGTGTCGGCCATTTTGTAGTGGTGTCCGAATTCTGAGTGAACGACATCATTCCCTACATTCATTCACTACTTTTACCCACAATCCTCTCTGAATTCGAGTGTACATTCGATGTACACTCGCTGAAGCCCTATTTCCCACAATCCAATGCGGAGAGAACTGAGCGCGCATGAAAGTTCGGCGCGAGCAAGTTTAAACCAGAGATTACATTACATCCAGTGGAGGATTTGAAAAATATCCGTTAATCGTCGTTTTGAACATAATAACGGTCGCCGGAGGGCGCTCGACGACACGTCATCTGTGAACGTGAGAGTTAATGTACAATTTCAGTCGATGAAGCTGGCACGGAGGTATAATTACAAAATAAAGTCATTATGATTGTTATTGTTGTTAATATTATTTTATAAACTAGGTAATGTAAGATAAAAGGAGTTTTATCAGTACGCGTGACGAAGCCTTTTCTGCGACAGCTCCAACTCTCCGACGCACAGTGTAAACGTCAGCGTCCGAATTCACTCACTTCATCTCCTTCACTCCTTGCAGATATAGTGCACTCAAATGCCATACACTATATAGGGATTAGTGAATGAGTGAACGAGTGAGCGGTTTCAGACACAGCTAAGGACTACACTAAGTTTATTTATACAGCATCCCTAGTAAATTAGTCTGATTCACTAAAGTGCCGGCTGCAAACAACCGTGCTACCTTGTTTTATTTTAAAGTTTTAATCCGCTTCTTCCTTATACTCAATTCAGTCGGGAATCCATGAAAACTTAAGTACGGTTGGTGTTGTTGGTTAGATTTATAAAGTGGAACAGAGTAGTGACATAAATAGCATTCATCTCAGGCATTGTTGAACTGCGTTGGAAGTGGACATGCACAAAGTTGACAAATCCCGCCCATGAAACCCGGAAGCGTGATAATCCCCTATGGGCTATATGCACGCATAAGTTCGGCATTTGACGCAAGGATGCTCGTCCATTTCCGGTTGTGTAGATTAAAGCGGAGGAAAACCGAGGAAAACAGGATTATGGCAGAGTCTTCAAAATGTACTGTCCTCCCGACTTTGAAACGAAACGTACATACGTTTAGATGTAATTTTATATATAGTTATGTTTATTTAATATAATTTTAAAAAGAAGCATAAACACAACAAGGGGTGTCTGTTTTATCTGTTTTTGTGACTAACGTTTCTTTAGTATAACCATGGAGTATAAAATTCAATATAAATTCTCGGTATTGCATTGGACTCTACGATCGGCGGAAGTTATCGAGCATCCTTACACCTTCACCGGAAATACCGCCGTGCATAGAGCCCATTGGCACTGGCTGGTTACTTCCGGGTTGTGGACTGGCTGCAGTAACGCGTCTCTGTCCATGCGGGGGCGGCAGGGCGCTCGCGGTCGAGTGCAGAATGAATGGGAGTCAATGGGGTTTCACCCCCAGAAACCCACTTTTCTCAGGATGTAATTTTTTGTCAAGTAATTTGAAAGTTGCATTCAAAAGGGAGGGCTAAGATAATACACTCAGCTGGAAATTATATTTTTAAGTTCACTTATCTGTTCTAAAAATCCGTTCAAAACTGTGATGACGTCACACAATAGTAGAATGCTAGCGTGTTCAGGACAACAACATCGAAAGGACATAAGTACTCGTTCATTCAACTTTTGGCCTATAATCTATATTGAACTTGCGGAATCAACAATAAAATCGATGTTGATTTAACGACAAGCAGGTGAAAGAGACACATTTAGCCGTTTAGCCTCATAGACTCCCATTCATTCTGCTCTCGCTCATGATCACCTCCAGTGGAATTATAATGGAACTGCAACCAGGATGATCCACAACGGGGCTAATAGGAAGTGCCAAGGCTCTCCGTTAGACGGGCTCTGAATGACTGAGACGAGATGACTTTCCGTTAACTTTAACTTAGCGACTGAAATTACACATTATGCAATGACTTTAGAAGTCTTGGAATATAGGGTGAAAACTTGATTGTGCTTTACAAAGTTTTTTATGCCTTTAGTGGGGCTTAACAAAATAACATAATACTATGCAGAATATCGGACGTCACTGAGAAGCTGCAGCCGTGGCGGGAGGATTTTAAGTGTGGCGGCCCGCCATGGGAGAATGAATGTAGCGGAAACACTGGAGATGATTTAAATGCTGAAATATGAGGTTTATCTTTTTATAAAACCTTTTTTGTGTTAACCTTTTTTTTAAAAGTTTTGTAGGTAACATAAAAGACACTCCTTTAAAACAAATTTTTAATGTTATTAACTTGGAAGGGGTTCGAAGGGGGTCTCGCCCTGGGTGTACACAAACATGGAAGTATAATTAAGAAAAAAAAATATTATTTCTATGTAAAATATTTATATTTTTATATAATATAAATTATATATAAATATATATACGGCATATACATGAAAATATTTCTTAAATATATACAAGCATGTGTGTATAAAATATATATATATATATATATATATATATATATATATATATAATAATTATACACAGTCCACCCACATGTATTATGTACTGTAAACACAAACTTTTATTTTGGATGTAATTAATCGCGATTAATCGTTTGACAGCCCTATTTATTATTTATTTCCAGTTAAGGGAGAGACTCTCATTCTATAGCCAATTTAGCTCAGATTAATCTCTAGCTAAAAGACAGACTGACTATATGACATTCTATTTACTATAGACCCTTCATGTTTGGTGAATTGACACAACGTTTTTTCTTCTTCTAATAAAATCAAGAGAAATCTGAAACCGTACTTTCATCAAAGTTGCATCAGAGGAGCCGAACAGAGTCTGTGTTTCCACCGCGCGACTCCTGACGATCCTCTCCAGTTTGCTGAACTTGCCCAGGCACAGGTAAGAGAGATAGTAGAGAAGCGCTATCTTTTGGGCAGCCGGGGAAAGCTCTTGTACATACTCTGGACTCCACTGGGACACAGCCACTGGTGAAATAACACATCATATATTTTAAAAAGATAAAAAAAATATACTGAAATACTGATATGGCTAAAAAGATCACATTTATGGCTGGTATTGTTTTCAAATCTGTTTGATGAAATAAGATGATACTTGCAGTTGGTATCAGCCATCCTTAGTAGGTTTACACAAAAATGTGTGGCGACGGGTTTCTCCTACGATGTACTGAAAGCAGAACAGTTTTGTTTGGTTTAAAAACGTCTCAGAAAATACAATATAATATGTAACTGGAAGGATATCTGACAATTATTATAAAAATGTTATGTGAAAATGACTTACCTTTGTTTTAGTAAGTGATTTGGACAATGTCTATCTGGTGCTTTTATACTAAAGCTATGACCATCCTGCCTTCCCCCTCAGGGCGGAGGCAGGATGGTCATAGCTTTCGTTTGTTATCTACTATTAGTCCTTGGGCCAAGACCCAAAATTTCACATGTTTTACATCATATGCATCCCTAGATAATGTTTTGACAAGATAACCCTGTGACCCCAGTAAGCGGGAAAAATGGTAAAAGTACCTTCCATGGAAATAATCTGGTTCATCCAGTTGATAATTAATCAAGTGGTTCATTCCTCACAAATAAAGGTTCCAAAGTAGTGAAATAATGAGTTAAAGGCAATAATTCCAAAATAAATAGCCAAAAATTGCTACATTTTGGAGTTTTAGCATGTCAAACAGTAATACCCTAATGTCATGAAATAGTCTAGTAGCCAACTAGGTGAACCCGGAAATATTGAGTACCCCAAAGTTTTATTGCAGAAATGTGAAGTATGGGTCCCCAACATACAGAAACTGTCGGACGCTAATTTGCGTATGTTGTTGTGCAAATTGCATGATTAGCATAATTAACAGCATTATTAGCTTAATCGTCCATTTTCACCAGATATTTTGCACTGTATTGTCAATTTCTACAATATGTGAGTGGTTTTAGAGGATGCTGATTTCAAAACAACAAAATATTAGAGTGAATTCAAAGATATCGACTTATGCCTGTTAATATTTACAAATATTTTAGTTTGCTTGGTATTAATATTAAATCACTGTTATTATCGTATTGGACGTTTGTGTATTTTTCAAAAATAATTCTAAGACATAAAAGTAGGAAAATTACCAATTCTAAAAAAAGTATAAAAAGTTGGGACTGTGGAAAGGTTATCATATTAAAATGAACTTATATTAACCCCATAAACAATTTAGTACAGGTAAGGTTTTGCCCACCCAGATGGTACCAACATCTGGTCTGGCCCATGGACTATCTCTCGTACCTGTACCATTGTCCATATCACTTACTAAAACAAAGCAGGGGCGGCACCAGAACATTTTTAACACATGAGCTCAGGGGGTGCTAGATCATTGATCAAATGTACACTGTAAAGAATTAAACCGTGATTTTTTACAGTAAAAAAAATGGCAGCTGTAGTTGCCAGAACTTTACCGTTAAAAATACCGTAGCAACGTTGTTGATTTTACAGATTTAACTTAAAATTGACAGCAATAAACCGTATTTTAATTGTGGGAATTGTGGGAATATTGTAAAAGAACATAATTTTGTAGTGCTGCTGTCCTGTGAGAGAGAAAAAAAGGACTTCAGAACGTTACTTCACATTTGTACGTGAATACTTCGCGAAGTATGCTGTTCCGAAAAATTAAAGTAAGAAAATGTAGGCCTAATGTCACAATATTAACAAATATTATGGAAACGTTTTATATAATTAAAACGAATCCACACCAGCGTTTTATCTGCGTATTAGAATTGATCTCCGTCCAGATTAAAACGACTGAAAACGCGGATCACGTGACCATTCACCAACACTGGGCATGCGCGTGCTGGCGTAAACGGTGGCTGACGAATCAGGGAAGGACACGTCATGACTGATGACACCCAATCATAGAGCCGAGTCCTCCGTTTTGTCCCGTCTACTCTAAAACGCCCTCCGGAGATTCAAAACGCAAAACGCAGCTGCAGCGTTTCTAAACGTCTCCGTTTTAGGTCTTCGTTTTTTCCGTTTTAGTGTGGACGGGAGGTGCAAACGTAGCAAAAGGTCTCCGTTTTTAAACGAAAACGCAGTAGTGTGGACGGGGCCTGAGTTTTACACGCTCACAAATCCTCTCATAATAACAAAGAAAGTGAAGACACTATGTAAATAAGAGATTCATTGTGCAGACAGCTTCATTTATTATAACAGAACTTTGTGAGATTGCGATGAATAATATCTTTGTGTAGGCTACTTTCTGCCATGATAAAGTTTGCTGGCTTTGGTGTCAACCTTGGAGTTAGTTCACCCCATGTGTGTGTGTGTGAGAGAGGTCATGTCGTAGCTCACCTATTTGCGTGCTCAATATTTATATACGCCACATATTTATAACCTCTACGAAGAGCTGTGCGGGATTTGGGGTGTACGAGCACCGCTTGCACAGTCGCTTCGCCACTAGAACTGCCACCGATTTGCCGTTTTCCGTGCGTCTCTCACTAAGCAAAGCCAAGCCAAGTCTTTGTTTTTGTGTTTAGTCCATGCTTATGTAACCTGAGTGCACTAAACTGTACTTTGGTTCTTCTGCAAACTGTGGTGTAATATTCATTTCCAGTATAGTCCACCCAGTGGAACAGTTTCTTACAGGAACCGAACATTACACAACATCAGAGTTTTGTGGCCCACCCCTCATTTTAGAAATCCAGTCTGCTGATGCAAGAAGAGAAGAAGCTCTTAGTTTTGTGAACAAATCTTTCTGTATATTGTTTCATGTATTATTAAGATGAATACAATTGTCTTACCTGCATGCTTCTATGATTTGGCGACGGGGTGAAACAGACCACGATTTATTAGAAATTATGTGCGTCTTAATCTTGTCCATCTATTTATTTGTGACAGTCTAACTACTCTCACTTTTCATAGATAGAGGTGACGCCCTTCAGTCGGCCAAGGAGCATAAGCCTCTGTTCATTCTTCAAAACTATAGACTTTATTATTCATAATAATCATTATATTTTATATAATCATCGATCTGGAAATGGCAGAGCAAATGGCAGGATTGGCACCAATGATTATTAATAACATTAAAGCATATGTTCTATTGTCACAGATACAGCCACTGAAATATGCAGGACCAAACCTGCAGAAATTAAAAATAAAAATGAAAAATTATTTTATTTATTTATTCCCAAATGAATTTTTTTCCATATGGATTAATTTATCAGTTTAGATCGAAATCAGAGTTTGCTACGGGATGTTTTAGATCAACTGAAGAGTTCCAAGTTATTTTCACAGATTAATAATAATAATAATAAAACTTTATTTTATATAGTGCCTTTAAAAGTAGTATCTCAAAGCACTTTACATAAAAAATAATGGAATCAGACAGACACAACAGTCTAGGCAATAAGAACTAAACAAGCAATAAAATAAAAGGCAAATAAAATAACAATCACAGTGATCACACAATCACATAAAAGCCACCCTAAAAAAGTACGTTTTAAGGGAGGATTTAAAAACTCTAAGTGATTCTGCATTTCTAATCTCAGAGGGCAGGGAATTCCACAATTTTGGAGCTAAAGAAGAAAAAGCCCGATCACCCATAGTTTTTAGCCGTGTTGTTTGGACGGTTAAAAGACCAGCTTCAGAAGATCGCAAAGCACGTGTAGGAGTGTAGGGGGTTAAGAGCTCACGCAAATATTGAGGGGCCAAGTTATTCAGGGCCTTATAAGTGAGCATGAGAATTTTAAAATCAATACGAAAACTGACTGGAAGCCAGTGCAATTTTTCCAGGATTGGTGTAATGTGTTCCCTTGCACTGGTCCCAGTCAGAATTCTAGCAGCCGAATTTTGAACCAACTGTAATTTACTTAGGGTAGCTTTAGAAACCCCAGCCAGCAAAGCATTACAATAATCAATTCTTGAAAAAACAAAAGTATTGATTAACTTTTCAGCCACAGAGAATGTCAACAAAGAACGTAATTTGGCAATGTTTCTGAGATGAAAAAATGATGTTTTGACTGTGTTACGAACATGATGGTCAAATGTTAAATTGGCGTCAAATATCACCCCCAGATTTTTTAGTTTAGTTTGTAATTTTAAAGCTGAGCCATCCACACTTAAAGTTATGGACTCTGCTTTACGCAACTGATGAGGTGAACCAATAAGCATCACTTCAGTCTTATCACTGTTCAGACAGAGAAAGTTTTCAGACATCCATTTCCTAATCTCAGTAAAACACTGAGAAATATAAGACACAGGCATATTGACATCAGGTTTTGAATGTAAATAGATCTGAGTGTCATCGGCATAAAAGTGAAAATTAAGACCAAGTGTTCTTAAAAGTTACCCAAATGGAAAAATGTAAATACTAAAAAGTAACGGGCCCAAAACTGATCCCTGGGGAACACCAGAGCGCACCACACCGACCTCAGACTTGTAATCACCCATCACAACAAACTGCTTGCGATCAGAGAGATAGAAACTCTTCTGACAGAGATCAGAAACTCCAAAAATGGTCTCTAAGCGATTGATTAAAATCGAATGATCTATAGTGTCAAAAGCGGCACTAAGATCAAGAAGAATCAGTATAGATAGACGGCCAGAATCAGATGCCATTAACAAATCATTAGTCACTTTGACCAGTGCTGTCTCAGTGCTGTGCAGTTTCCGAAATCCAGACTGAAGTGGCTCAAAAAGATCATTAGCAGAAAGATGAGACAGTAGTTGAGAAGCCACTGTTTGTTCTAAAATTTTGGCGAGGAATGGAAGATTAGAGATGGGTCGAAAATTATTCAGATTATCAAAGTCCGTGTTGTTAGTTTTTGGTACAGGGGTGACAGCAGCAGTTTTAAGTGCAGCTGGCACAACACCAGTGCACAGGGAGTTATTGATAATTCTCAAAACAAAGGGAGAGAGGGAATCAAAACATGATTTAAAAAGGCAAGATGGTATAGGATCAACTCTAGAAGTTGAGGCTTTCAGTTTTGAAACCGTATTACACAGGCTGCGTTCCAAACCGCATACTCAATGAGTAGGTACTTAATTTCAATAAGTACTTACTCATCGAGCGCTAAAAGAGTAGGTACTTTATAGCCAAATCTCGTTGAGTATGAATGCGAACCAGACATCTGCCATGTTGACGTTATCATGTGACCTACTACGCGTTATCACAAGCGCAACACCTTCATGCA